TTTAAATTATTTCAAAAAATACGTTACTAATTACTATATAAAAAGAAATGAATTGAAAGTTATTTTATACGAAACAAAGATTACACAAATTTAACTTTATTCATAAAGAAAGTTATAATACAGGCAGGAGAATTAACATTTCATTCCTATATATTTACACAGCATACGTAATAACAAACAATAAAAAATAGTTACAAAAATGTTTTCAAACATTGCACAATTTCGTTTTTCAAAATTTATGTATACATCTACATAAAAATATTTCATGAACAAACCAATGAATTGCCAAAGAAACAAAACAAAACCTTTTTAAAATATAATTTTTACCAAATACACATCTGAATGAATTACAAATTGTGAAAATATGTTTTTTTGCTTACAATTAGATGATAAACATTAAATATTTGACAAATAACATTCAGGAAGTTACTTCACTCGGACAAAAAAGTTTTTAATTACACTATTTGTCATACTCTTGTCCTATCAGAATCTCCTGATAATTTGTCTAAAACCTGAAGAGTAACAATTATTTATTAAATAACTCCTTCAAACATTATTTTAGGGGAGGAAGGGGTAAGTTTTTTCATGGAGGAAAGGAGGGTTTAGAACCCCGTGTCACATAATGTAAATATATCTTCCTGTGTTAACATTTATAAAGAATTTTAAAAATAACTTCGAAATATTACATACTTGTACTTAACTGTAGCAAACATTTACGTTTATCTATAAGTTTTGAAATAAATTAGTAAATACAACAAATAACATACACCAACAATTGACAATTAGTTTTGAATTATTGAATTTCTGCAAAATTTTAGCATTCTAATACCCAGACAATCCATTTGGTCACAAATAGTGGAATTTAGTAAACTTAGAGGATAGAAAGAAAAAAAAACTGGCTTAATTACTTACACCACTAATTCCTGGTAAATTTAGGAATGTTCCTAGTACAGGTACCCTTCGAAGGAAGTTAATAGCAACAGGGAAAAACCCACTGAAACATTATATGAAGAATTAAAAAGAATCATACTCCTACCTCTTAAATTATTTACCTGAACAATAAAACAAATCCATACATTTCAAAAAGCATTCCTACAAGAGGCCAACCTGTAAGAACTATAATTATGCCTCCAAAAAATGAAATTGATGCTTTTACTTTGTGCCTTTGGAAGAAAAATCTAAATGTTCTTTCTAATCCAATAACACATGCTAAACCACTTATAAAAAGAATCTAAAAGCAAAATGAAAGATAGTTTACTTAACCTATCGTAATAGATTCTACTGCAGAAACTAGATATTCCATTAATTTACACTTACGTTCCCTAGGGCTAAAAGGCTTTTATCAAAAAGGAGCAACATCCCTAAGAATAGGAAAAAAATTCCAAATCCAGCCAGACCTACACCAATCTCTAAAAGAAAGGTTAGTTGTGAACAAAAGTTTTTAAGATTTTAAAGTAAGACTTACTTTGGGTGTCTGATATTTCAAACATTTTTGCTATTATGACTATTTTATCCTACTTAATTTAAATATCTAAATAAAAATTAATAAGCTGCCCAAATATTAGTTCCACGTCACTGTTATTAGTTGTGTTGAATTATAATTCAGGTCCAAAAGCTTAGTACCATCAAAAACATTTTCTCAATTTGCTATAATTACTATTTATTAATCAGATATTTCCTTAACTTTGCAAATTAATGCTGTTTTGTTATAAACATATTATTTAAATAAACACATGTACGTATGCAACCGCGCCTTGCATTTAACTTTTGACAAATTTAACCATAGAAATCAATCAAATTGACAGAACAATTGCATTATCCCTAATATTCAAAAGTTCTAATTTTCATTAAATTTGAATGAGTATTATAGGTTATGTTTTCTTGTATATAATTAAAATTTGTATTCCAAAAAAGTTTGCAATTACTTGAAAATTGAGTAAAAAAATAAATAAAATTAACCTTTTATGCCTTCGTAGTTATCCCGATAATAACATAAACGGTATGTAAATAAAATAAAACATAAACATTTATGTAATTGTGTTCATATTTAAGGCCCCCCAATTACTTAAATTATCAAGAGTATAATATGGATATATTAGAATCGGTATTGAGAACATGCAGTGCAGAAGCATTCTTAGAAATGTTTAGAAATCAAGGTGTGGATGCTACCACTTTGCCTATTTTAAACGATGATGATTTGAGGCTACTGGGAATTGAGGACACTGAGATTAGAAAGAAAATTATAAAACAAGCATCAACCCTTCAAATACATGCTGAGTAAAATAATAAATAAATAACATTTAAGATAATATTTTACTGTTGTCTTTTGCCTTAGGAGGAATATCGATTGTACTATTACAAAGGAATATGTACAATTAGTTTTAAGTCAAATTTTGGCTCAGCTAAGTCTTCATCAAGCAAACTTGGCGTGTGCCCTTAGAAAAGATGTGGTTGTTTGTGATACCAAACTTACCAATGCTGTTAAATGCCTTAATTCGTGTATTAATTCTTTTGAAAATCAACTGAGAATGCTTTATACAAAGGTATTAAGATGAAAAGTAATTAATTTAGTACTTAAATTAAATTACTTATGTGATTCACTGTTGATTTGCTTTACTGGTTTTTATATTAAGGTCAGTTTGTTTTTTATGTTTCAGATAAAGCCACAAAAGAGGAATAGGGGCAACAAAAAATGGTTCAAAATTGCTTGTGCCACTGCATCTGCCACAATTATTCTTATTCTTGGCTTTAAATATTCAAATTGATTTTATTTTTGTTAATTTGTATACACCTTATTATTTTTAATATAAAACTTATATACTATTCTAATAAGTTGTTCCTAAATTCCCAAATTAATTATAAGTTTATCTTTCAAGACTCCTTTAGATAAAAGTTTTATGATA